TGGGTTCCCACTCCTATTTCATCTATTGAAGGATCTTCATATTTTGTCATTATTATTGATAACCACAGTAGAAAGGTGTTGGTGTATTTCTTAAAACACATCAGTGTTTGTTGTTTTTAAGAAATAGAAAATCATTGTTAAGAATGAGACAAATCTAAAGTTGAATTGTCTTAGATAAAATAATAGTGATGAGTATAGTGAGAAGAAGTTGATATATTTTTTTTCTTTGAATGAGATCTAACATGAATTCATTTTCTCAAGATCACCATAATATAATGATATTGCAGAGCACATGAATAAAACTTACATTGAGCGTGTCAAGAGCATGAAATTGCATGTTAGTATACCTAAATAGTTATGAGCAGATGCAGTAAATATTGTTATTTATCTGATTAATCATGGTCCATCAATTCCTCTAAATGAAAGGTTACCTAAACAAACTTGGAGTGACAAGAAAATAAGCACATCTAAATTTTAAATCTTTGGTTGTGCCTCTTATGTTTATATTAATACAGGATCTACGAGTAAACTTGATCCAATGTTCATGAAATGTATATTTATTGGATATGTCTTAAATGAATTTGGTTATGAATTTAAGGACCATCAGATTTAAAATTCATTATGAGAAGGGATGTTCATTTTAATGGAAATAAAATATACAAGGATAGCAATAAGATAACTCCCGAAGATTTTTAAAAATATATTGAGATGGAGGATGTTAGTGTCAAGAAGACAAAGGCAAGAATTGAGCTCAAGCTGATAAAGCACGGAGGGTTCATCAGATAGTTTCTACTGAATTCAAAAGATCCAATAGAATCTCACGACATTTACAAAGGTACTCCCTTAATTAAATGTTTATTTCTAATACATGGTGGAGAACCAAAGTGATATGATGAAGTCATATAAATTGATGATTCAAAAAAGTGATGAAATGTGATCGCTTATGTTGAATCAAAGTTGGTGTTGACTGAACTGTCAAATTACAAGAAAGCATTCCATAAAACTTGGTTTGTAGACTAAAAGAAGAATATGATGATAACAAGCGCTACAAGGAATGAGTTATAGTAAGGGATTTTCATCAAAAGAACTGATTGAACTATACTAAAATTATTTTTCCAATTATGAAAATGATAACAATTAGATTTTTGAATCAACAATAAAAAAAAAACTTACAGGAGTTTTCTTCTTACTAATTTAGGGTGAAGGCCTGGAAAAGCGTCAATGGACGAGACTTGCAATGAACTTGTCCCATTGCATGCAATTCATATCATTGGGGTGCCTCCCATCCTCCATAGAGGAGCTACCGAGGAAGCTTTTCACAAGGAAAGACTCAAAATGACTTAGGTCAAGAGAGGTAAACTCAACGAGTTCATTGACGAGACCTATTGCTAAGGTGCGTCAATCAACTTTACTGAAGTCAATCAACATGCAAATGGTAAATTCATACAACAATGTAACAATCATTTCGACACCTATTTCAAATTGCCTAATCAACAGTATCCCTACATGCTTAGGGATTCTAAAGAATATCATATTTAAGAGTGACTATAAGGGGCTGAATGCCAAAGTTTATCGTGAAGATCTCCATATAAAGGCTAACTCTAAAATTCCATATTGAAGATCTCAAATAAACTTTTTTATTATTAAAAAAATACAGCACAAAGCAACCCTATGAAGCGCACCTTTAGAGTTGAATTGAGGAATTTTTCAGCCTTTCTTTTTTACATTAGAATGTATCAAAATGAATTTAATAAAAAAACTTGAAGAAATTCTCAAAATTACGTAGCCTCAAAACATGAATGAGCTATAGAGGTTGATCAGGCGAGTTATTGTTCTTAGTCGGTTCATCTCAAAGTCAAGCAACAAGTGTTCGTCATTCTTCAAATGCTAAGCATTTTTCTTAGAAGGAAGAATGTGAAGTACTTGTCTTTCGGTAATTAAAGTTGCTCTTCTACATTGCCTCTAGACCGCAACTATGGGAGGACTTGCTCTAATGCCTCGGAGTCATCAAGAGGACGATGAGCTTGGTCCTCATTCATGAAGAAGGGAAGAAGCAGTAGATAGTTTGAACATAAATTTATGAAATCAAAATTTGGATGATCTTGAATTTAATTTTGTAAGTCTACAATTTAAATATGCCTCAAGATCCATGCTTGATCAAAATTAGTTTTGGTGACATCAATAATTTTAATTTTTTAAAGAAGTTAATGAATACTGAATTTCAAGAGTAAAATTTGACTATCAAAATTCAAGTAAAACTTGGATAATTACTTAAGTAAATAGTTGACTCATAAAAAATAATTAATGCCAAACATTTAGTATAATCCATTAATAAGAAAATATTGAACATTGACAAAGATGAATATCAAATAGCAAATAGACATCAAGGAGTTTGCTTCAAGGACTCATGGTTGAAAAGACACCTATACCACATACTGAATAGGTAAATTATTCAAGAGAGTGTAATAGGAGAATGGTAGTGATAGAAATGTACCCCTCAAACTTAAGGGAAAATTCTATAAGATGGTAGTGAGGCCTGCAATGCTTTATGGTGCCGAATGTTGGCCATTAAAAGAGAAGCATAATACTAAGTTAAGTGTGGCAGAGATGAGGATGCTTAGATGGATGAGTGGCTTTACCCTTAGAGATAGGATACGAAATGAACATATACGTGAAAAGGTTGGAGTAGCTTCAGTAGAAGATAAGATTAGAGAGAGTCGCCTTAGATGGTTTGGTCACATAAAAAGGCGGCCTTCCGACGACCCAATTAAGAGAGTAGAGGTATTAGATTTGACTTGTGTTAAGAAAGGTAGGGGTAGACCTAAAAAGACTTGGTTAGAAAATATTAGGAATGACCTTTCTTTATTAGATTTAAACGAGAATTTGGCTTTTAATAGGACACAATGGAGAAAAAGGATTCATTTAGCCGACCCCACGTAGTGGGATAAAGGCTTGATGTTGTTGTTGTTGTTGTTGTAGTGTAATAGGAGAATGGAGTTGGTTTGCTCAAGAAGAGGGGATGGCTTTGTAAAGGTGATTAGTGGGGTGAAGCCGCCGTACACGGAGAATCTGATGGTGGCCACCGGCCTGGGAGTGGTGGATTGTCGTGGTTTGTGTTTGGAAAATTGCTCGTGCGTGGCTTATATTGTGCTTGGTGGAAATTGTTTGAGGTAGGTTGGTTAGCCAATAGACATCAAGGTGTTTGCTTCAAGGACTCAAGGAGATGTGGATCTCTATCTTCAGAACAATTATTAGGTCCTCCGACCGGATGTGGAGGAACGTCCGGTCGGCACTAAAATCCAGTCAAAAAAGTCTGTATTTGCTCGGTATTGCTAGGTATTATTTGGTAATAACGAGGAATATCGCTTTGTGAAGACCAATACCGTGATATACCAAGCAATACTGAGTTATACAAAAAATACCGAGTTTTTTCTAGGAAAAACTCGGTATTGCTCGGTATAGCTCGGTATAACTCGGTATTGGGTTTCACATGATGGTATTCCTCGTTATTGTTTGATATTGCTCGGTATTGCTCGTTTTTGGCGTGATTTTAGCTCCGACCGGACGTAGCTCTACATCCGGTCGGAGGACCTAATAATTGTTCCTATCTTCGGCTACCTTTCGCTGATTTAAGTATGATTTTTAGGCTGTAATTAAATACTACAAACTTATTAGCCATTTTAATTAATTATTTTTTTCCGCAAAATTTTCTATTTGTACTCCACGTGGCTCAACACTGCGTATATATAGATTTGGTGCTAATGCATACTAATAGGATCATCATATCGAATGTTAATTAATCCAGCAAGTGGACAATTTTTTACCACTTGAATTTATAAGGATTGATATCACAATCCATGAAAAGAACTTTTCCCCCCTGCTTTAATTCGGCGTTTACTAGTCTTCCACCTTAATGATAATCTGATGCGGTGCATTTATACACTGAGTGTGACAACCCTTAGCTGCCACATTTTGCCAATTCAAAGCCACAATTTATCTCAGCATTATGCCCTTCAATTATTTTGCAGCATTTAATATACTAGCTACTTTCATTAAAATATTTAGTGGCAGTTTGGTTGCTAAAAAAAAGAACGGAGTGTAAAAAAAATGTCATGTAAAAAGAATGTTTTAGGGCATCTCCAACCGAAAACTTCATTTTTCACGGCAAAGTAACGCAAAACTCCAAAATGGCGCGGTGATGCTCCAATCGAACGTCATTTTAGGTGTTTTTGAGAAGGTAACGATCGCCCTCCCTTTCGCGAATTTTTCCGGTTGAGAGCAAAAAATGGCGTGAGTGAACAGTGCGACGCCAATATTGGCGTCGCACTGTTCATCCTCGATCAAATGGCGTAAAAAATGCCGATCGGTTGGAGCAAAACAAGAACGGCAAATAAGTGTTTGTCGTTCGGTTGGAGATGCCCTTAGAATTGTTTAGATGATTGTAAAAATAATTTGTGATATTATTATTTTTATTTAATTTGAAGTTAAGTTAATGCAATGTAAAATGCAAAGAAGTTATCATCTGGGTGGCTGACAGTGGCAGGGGTAGCCTGCAATATTGGTACGACTAGCGAGCAGCGGTGGAGATTGTCATAGATGGTGGCAATGGCAGTGGGTTTGCGATATATTTGAAAATAGCTTTAAATGAACTAAAATTTAATTAGATGATGTATTTCAAATACACTAAAATTTAATTTTAATTTTTTCTTACTTCAAATCCAACATATATATTTTTAAAATCTTTATATTTCGAGTATTTCCTTGCCAGCAATCAAAGCCTCTATAGTAAATAGTACATGTAGCATGCTGGAGAACGGAAGAAAAAAAAAGATAAAAAACTTGGTTCTGATTTATTGCTTTTGGTTGCTCTGAGCTTCGTTTGGGACGACTTTCGTCCCAAAGAAGCCTAGGCTACAGGACTACCACGTCACAATGATACCGAAAATGGCTAATAAATTATAAAAAAAACTTATTCCTCTCCTATTAATTATATAACAACTCATTCCTTATCAGCCTACAGTTAAAATTCGGAGGCATGGGAAGGATCCTCCTCCTCATCCTCCTCTCCTCCACCCTCATCCTCCACTCTGCCCCCACCGACACCATCACTCCGTCCCAAACTCTCGCCTCAGGACAAACCATCATCTCCGCTGGAGGCACTTTCGAACTAGGATTCTTCAACGCCACCACACCTTCTAGCTCTTTCTTAGGCATATGGTATCACAAAATCCCCATTCGCAAAATAGTCTGGGTTGCTAACCGCAAATCTCCGATCACCGCCCAAAATGCCACCTTTTTTCTAACCACTGACGGCAATATTCTCATCACAGCCGGCGACGTCAACAACGGCGGCATCAGAACTGTTTGGTCTACGAACACCTCCGGCGTAAAAATTCCATCTTTGAAACTCCTCGACTCAGGCAACCTCGTGCTGACTGACAGTGGATCAAATGCCATTATTTGGGAGAGCTTTGACTACCCTTCCGACACTTTACTCCCCAATATGAAACTCGGATTAGACTTAAAACGTCACCTTGAAATGCAGCTAATGTCCTGGAAATCTCCTGACGACCCCTCCCCGGGCTTGTACACCTTTGGCCTTGGCCAAACTGGTTCACCGGAGCTCATACTCAAGAACGGTACAAAAATCGAGTATCGAACAGGGCCATGGACTGGAGTTTCATGGAGTGGCATTCCCCAAATGAACACGGATGTCCACTTCAACTACATCTTTGTGGTTCAACCCGACAAAATTTTCTACACCAATACGGTTACGGATAATAAATCTAAAATGATTTTAACAACCCTCGATCCCAGCGGTGGTTTGCAACTTTTGATGTGGCTCGGCGGCCAGTGGAGGCAGTACTGCAAGCTGCAGGAGGACAATTGCGATCGCTACGGCACGTGCGGGGCATTCGGGATATGCAACGTGTATTACCCTGAAGGGTTTTGCAAGTGTTTACAGGGGTTTGAACCGAGCAAGATGGCGGATTGGACGTTGAGGGATTATTCAGGCGGGTGTAAGAGGAGAACGGAGTTGAATTGCTCAGGAGGAGGGGATGGCTTTGTTAAGATGAGTGTGGTGAAGCCGCCGTACACAGAGAATGTGACGGTGGTCGCTGGTCTGGGAGTGGAGGAGTGTGGTGCTTTGTGTTTGGGGAAATGTTCGTGTGTGGCTTATGCTGTTCTTGGTGGAAATTGTTTGTGGTGGGTTGGTCAGTTAATAGACATCAAGCAGTTTGCTCAAGGAACTCAAGGAGGTGTGGATCTCTATCTTCGGCTAGCTGCCGCTGATTTGGGTATGCTCTTTAGGCCTTATTTAAATAATACGGACGTATTAGCCATTGTTAATTAATTACACTTTCAAAAAAATATCCTATTTGCTACGCCGCCATTGACCTAAGAATTTCTTATACATGTAGATTCAACAAAAAGTGCCTCAAGCAAAAAGAAGTATATAGTTGCAGTAGTCATCCCATTGGGGCTAGCTTTTATCATATTCTCTTGCTGTGGGATATACACAATAAGAAAAAAAAGAAAGCAGAGTAAGTTATCTATAAAGATGTACCTTCAAAATTTGTTTTTTTATTTGTGATGATAGAAATTGTTTAAATAGCTCCAAATTCTAAAGAATTATATGTGGTTTAATTTTATTTTGGAACTTAAAATAATTTTTAGTTATCACAGAACTTTTACTCAACTATTAGAGAAAAGCATGGCGCATGTTATTTACTTTTGACTGTTTAAAACTTGCTGGCCAGGTGTAGCATATGGTTATGCCACGGAGAGCATAAGAAAAGAGATGGAGCTTCCCGTATTTGATATGTCTGTAATTGAGCTTGCTACAAATAACTTTTCTGAGGGAAATAAGCTTGGACAGGGTGGATTTGGCCCTGTTTATAAGGTAACTTTGCCACTCATCATTTAACCATTAATCTTATAACAACATTTTGAATCAACATTAAATTTCGCTGTGCTAAAGAAACTTTGTCAATTTTACTTCTCTCCCTCATCTCTACTCCATCTCCATTCCATTTTCACGTTTGATATGAAATGCTTGTATCATTTAGCTAGCAGCTTGTGAGCCCCCATCTGATTTTTTAGCTCTGCAAATTATATGAATATTTAACTATGAGCTTAAACTGATTATATTGTTCATACAATATCTAATATTCTCTTTTATCCTCCATCTAGATGCAAAAATTGGAAGATGTAAATATGCAATGTTTGAGGCTGCTTGAATTAATGTTGAAATTTGCAGGGTCATTTGGAAGATGGGCAAGAGATTGCTGTCAAGAGATTATTCAAATATTCTGTTCAAGGGTTGGACGAGTTCATGAATGAAGTTATGTTAATTGCGAAACTTCAACACAGGAATCTTGTTCGTCTTCTTGGCTGCTGCATCCAGGGAGAGGAAAGGTTATTGATTTATGAGTACATGCCCAACAAAAGTTTGGATTCTTTCATTTTCGGTTAGTGCCAAACACTACTTAAAGTGTCATATTTAGTTTCTTTGATGAATTATAATCTCATCTATGTTTAGAATAAAGCAAGGTTTTTTTTTCCTTTTGTTCCTTTTTTGGGCTTACATAAATAACGCTAGTCTTATTCAATCACTAGATGGTTCTACTATAGTCTTATTTATTCATAGCTTTATTTGCAACTTGCTGGATTTTATATATTATTCAAACTCTTAAAAAAGGCATTCTATAATCAGGAGAGTTGTCCACCTTCTGTTGGTCTTTTTGTAAGGTTCTAATTTCTACGAAAAGAAATTTTTAGAAAATCAATCATGGTATTATGTAGTATCATGGCCATTAATATTATCTGTATATGTTGTACAAATTGTGTGTTTTTTCTGATATTTGAGAATTATGTTGCTGTCTAACAGTTTTTATTTTTTTATCAACTATTTCTTTCCCCGCTTAATGTTAAGCTAAAATAAAATATTTAAGCAGATAAAGCAATCAGTTCTCAGTTGGGTTGGCAAAAACGATTTGATATAATTCTTGGAATCGCGAGAGGACTACTCTATCTTCATCAAGATTCTAGATTAAAAATTATTCATAGAGATCTCAAGGTTAGCAATATTCTTCTCGACAAGGAGTTGAATCCCAAAATTTCAGATTTTGGCTTGGCAAGAATTGTGGGAGGAGACCAAATGCAAGAAAGCACACAAAAAGTGGTTGGCACATTGTAAGTTTTCTATCACTCTCTATTTCATTAGCTATAGTATGAACCTTCAGCATATCATACCACTCACACATATTTATATGGCAGTGGATACATGTCGCCTGAGTATGCAATGCATGGTATATTTTCAGTAAAATCTGATGTCTATAGCTTTGGAGTCATTATACTTGAAATCCTTACTGGTAAGAAGAATAGAGTGGTTGATCTAAATGAAAGCCATGTGAGCCTAGCAGGGCATGTAAGTATTATTAGAGAAGGGAAATGAAATTACATGTTGGGTTTTGTTTTACACCAGTTCAAATTTAAGAATGCTTGTGCAGGCCTGGACATTATGGTCGGAAAATAAATCTCTGGAGTTGGTCGATGAAGAGCTGAAGAATAGCTATCATGAGCAAGAAGTTCTGCGATGTATGCAGGTTGGTCTCCTTTGTGTGCAAGAAGGGAGCGAAGATAGGCCTACAATGGCTTCAGTGGTTTTGATGTTGGGCAGTGAAACCATGACATTGCCTCAACCTAAGAGACCTGGCTTCTATCTCAATGATGATTCTGAAGTACCAGATTTGTCAATGTCGGATCATGTCGATTGTTCAAGAAATGAAATCACTCTTACAATGATCCATGGTAGATAGAGAAGTTGAACCCAAACCTATTGATAGCCAGGGTGGTATTAATGATAGTGAAAATGTGGCTGACATCCAACAAATTAATCAAGATGCTGCGGGTTTGTTGGGATTGACAAAATTTTCTTGATGTATGGACTATTTTTACATAGTCATTGTATATTTCAAGATTAAGAATGACAGGAAGTTGTGTGCTACTTCATCATCAAAAGTAATCTTCTTCCTCACTCAGCAGTGCAGCTACTAGATATGTTTGTTATTAGTTCTGCATGAATGTCTTATAGGCAGCATAAGCGCTACAGGTTCTCTATATTGCCTTTGGTCTTTGATATGTTTAGCTATTTTAATAAAGTTGAGTTTGATTTGGTTTGCAGTCAACTCCCTATTGTAGATCAAAAAATATTTCTCATGCAGATCGAAAAATACTTTTCTTTTTATTTGGTTTGGCTTGGAGTAAACTCCCTGTTGTACATCAAATACTATAGCTAATAAAGCTCTAATGAAGTTATTGGCTTGGGATATATTGATAGCCAGATAGTCGATTAATAATTTTCCTTGGGAATCAGCCCTTCCTCGAATAGTCGTCAGGATTGACTCCATAAATAGGAGTGGCTAGGGCCAACCATTAGGCTTTACTCGCCTATCAAGATGTTTATTTTTTTGTCATAGTCGCTTTCTTAAGATGAGATCTCTAGTAGGCTAGCAGGTATGAGGCTAAGTAGATATTTGCTTGATACTTTTTGAATTAGCTTGAGCCAGGTCGACTTAATTTGAACGAAATTTTTTGGATATTTGTTTTTTAAAAAAATGTTTGATTTTTTTTTCTTTTTTTCGCGCCAAAAGCTAATTTTTAGTCTAATTTTATCAATTATCTTAATTTTGTTTTCATATAAATATTTAAAATTCTAATTCGAAATGAGTGGAAAATAAATATCATTTTTAAATATATATTTTTTATTGGTATATGCAGCTAAATTTAATAGTCTATCATGGTCTTCCAAGTTTGTTAAACCCAGTGCTAGCCACTCAAGTCTTGGGAGTCAAGTTTATCCAATTAATTGGATTAAGTCAATCTATTTGAGCTAAGGAAACTTAGTAAATCTATTCATGCATCTTAATTGGCTAGCTTGACCAGCTAAGCTTCCCTAGGATCAATCCTAATTTGTTGTGTTCAAACCAACGGATAGATCACCGACAAGCATATTAGCGAAGTGCTTAAATAGAGAAAACAGTGACCATGAAGACGAGAATGTAAAGAATTTCACTCATATATTTACTGGAGCAGAAACTAATTTATATGAATAGATGTGAGTAGAATGGAGAAAAGACTAAATAGTTACATAAAGTGAAGATGTGCTGCTGAGCAAAGAAGGTGGCTGCAGAGTCAGAAGAAGGCCAGGTGTGAATTGTTAGTTGGAGAGTGGAGCTAAAGTAGCCAAAATATTTTTGTCATCGTCCCTCAAGTTGATGGGCAGAATGACCATTAACTTGCTATGAAGAATATGTAGTATGGTTGAGGGGAGTGACTTTGTAAAGATATTTGCAACTTGATCTAATGTAAATATGTGATGAACAACAAGATGCTTAACTTGAATGCAATCACGAACGAAGTGATGATCAATCTCGATGCGCTTGGTGCGTGCATGGAAGATCGGATTGGAGGCTATGGACAGCTGAAACATTATCACAGAAGATGGGAGTTGTATTGAGGGGAATGTGAAAATCCTAGCAGAGGCAGCAAATCCAAATCAAATTAGCTACAACTACGGCAAGAGAGTGGTACTCAGCTTCCATTGACGATCTCTCAATTGTGAACTCACTATAAGGCTTAAGCAGTGAGGTAGGAGGATAACGTTGCAAACCATAAGCGAGGGGCATGTTTTGAACCATAAATAGCTTTGCGTGGAAGTCAAACATGATGTGGCATTGAGAGTCTTGAAATCCTTGAGGTTGGGTCATGTAGATAGTTTTGTCAAGTTTGCCATGAAGAAAGGCGTTGATGACATCGAGTTAAAGTATTGGCCAATTGTTATGGAGAGCAACTGTGAGAAAGAGCCGAATTGTATGGAATTTAACTACGGGGCTGAAGGTTTCATGGCAGTCGACACCATATTTCTGCTTGCAGCCTTGTGCAATAAGAAGGGCAATGGAGCCATCGACGAGGCGTTTTATTTTGTAAATCCATTTGGAACTGATGATTTGTTGGTTGGATGGAGGAGGCACAAGGGACCTGGTGCCTTGGCTCGAAGGGCATGGAATTCGGCAAGCATGGCTTTACGCCATTCTGGTAGTTTGTTGGCAGTGGTAAAGTAGGTAGGAGTGGATTGAATAGTGTGATGAAGATCAAGAATGATGTGTGGTTTAAGAGATCCTGTGTGAAGTCTAGTAACCATGGGGTGATGAGGTTGTATGATAGGTGGAGGAGGAGGGATTGGAGAGAAATTGTTGGAGGATGTTGGAGACAGGCTAGGAGAAATGGAGAATGTAGAAGAGGCGAATGAATTATTGGAGGATTTAGTGGGATTGTTAGAGTTTTGTTGTAGAGAAGAATGGGTAGTAGAGGGTGTTATGGGGATAGGGAGATTGGTAATGGGAGGGAAAAGTGGTGCAACAGCTGAGATTGGAGGGGTGACTTCTTCAGTGGTGGGAGTGGAGATGGAAGAAAAGGTTGATTCATCGAAGGTAACGAAACAAGAGACATGTATTTCGCTAGAGATGGGGTTATATCATTTGTAACCTTTTTGTTGAAGAGTGTAGCCGAGGAAAATACAAGGAGTAGATCTCAATGCTAATTTGTGAAGAGCATAAGGTCAAAGCCAAGGGAAACATCGGCAGCCAAACGTGCGAAGCTAGTTGTATAAATGTGGAATTGTAGAGAAGCTCGTAGGGAGATTTAGAGGAGGTGGTTGATGAGGAAAGTTGGGGTATGTGAGGATTCGATCCAGAACTGTGGTGGGAGATGGGCAAAGATGAACAGTGTTCGAGCCGTATCTAAGATGTGGCGATGTTTTCATTCAGTAGTTCAATTTTTCTGGGAAGTGTGAGGGCAAGTATACTGATGAGTTATGCCATTGTAAGTTAGGAAGGAGTGTAAGACATTGTTAAGGAATTTGCCTCCGCTGTTAGTTCTAATGGTTTGAATGGGTAAATTTAAGTATTTTTCAAAAAGATTCTTAAACTGAATAATGGTTTGAGGGAAATCAGATTTTTATTTGAGAGCATAGAGCCAAGAGTTGTGTGTGTAATCATCTACTAATAGTCAGTAATAATAAAAACCATCATAATATAAAACAGGGGAACACACCCAAACATTGGCATGGATTAAAATTAATTAATTTAATTTAATAATAAAATAATGAATTAGTTAAAATGTCGTCGGAAAATATTTATTTTCAATAAATTAATTTAACAATACATTATTAAATTATTTAACTAAATAAAAAAATCTAAATTTTATTATTAATAATTTTAGAATTTTTTAATTTCCGTCAGAAATCCGTCGGAAATGTCGTCGGAAACTCTGCCGGAAAAAATCCGACGACAAATCCGTCGGAAATTCTGTCGAAAAAAAATAGTCGGAAAAATTTGACCTTAATCCGTCGGAAATGCGCCGGAAAAACCGCCGGAAACAATTCCGCCGGAACTCCGCCGGTAATAGACAGTTTTCCTGTAGTGAAAAATTCACCTAATTAATGATCTCATTTGTTAATGTCTTTCATCCTTGTGCCAATCGGTTTTACATACAAGTTCTTTGATTTCTAATATTCATAATATAGCTTACATATTATATGAAGATATTAAATGTTGTTGTAACACTGTTGAAAAAAAATATATGGATTTCGATTTTATTTGTAAATCACACGATCTTATTTCATACAGGTCATCTATCAATAAAAAAACAAGCAGCCTCCCAACGTCTCCCTCATTTAGGAGAAATATAAAGAGTCATAGCATGCCCGCCATGCAAAAAAAAGACGTGCACTATTGGTGTTAGGTGACACCGCAACTGTGGCCTTCAATCCTACCACAACAAGAAAGGTGTGTATAATTCTTCAATGGGGTACCTGTGTGAAAACGCATATTGCGCTGGAGATATTCGAACGAATTTATCGACATAAGCAAAATATAATTCCTCTACACCTTTCTTAACATAAGCAAAATCTAATACATCTAATTTCCTAATTAGGTCATCGAGAGCTAGGAGGCTGACGTTTTGTCTGAGCATTCTCATATCTTTATCCTAGAATAGGCACGATGCATTCCTCCACTTCTTAACATAAACCAAATCTAATACTTTTCTATGACATAATAGGTGCAATGCATTCCTCCACTTCAACTATCGAACTTGAATTCTACTGATAACATTTCTATCTATTTCACAATTACTTTCAACAATTGATCCAAGATATCAAAATGTGTACTCTTATTATTAACTTGATCTCCCAATGTCTACCAAGAACATAGAAAACCTAATGTTTGAACTCCCTCTCTAGTTTTATCAAGTAGAAGAATATCATCATAATGATTTGCAAATGTCTACCGAGAACATCCATAAACAAAGAAAAATTAATATGCGACTTACAACAACAGATTGATGGAGGCATCGACAGAGAATGTCGGTGGAAAAGGCACGTCGGTGATGGAGGCACGTTGATGATGGAGCTATACAGGCTGACTGGGTGAGTTATTGTTCTCAGTTGGTTCATGTCAAAGTCAAGCAACAAGTGCTCATCATTCTTCAAAGTTTTGAGAAGCGCTAAGCACTTTTCATAGAACGAAGAATTTGAACTCATCTATCAATAATTAAAGTTTCTCCTCTACATCCCATCTATTACGAAGGTCATAGCCAGGGGATGACTTAACTCTTATGCCTCGGGGTCATCAAGAAGATAGTAAGCTTGGTCCACATTCATGAAGAAGGGAAGACGCAACAGATAGTTCGGTTATAAATTTATTGAAATCAGAGTTTGGATGATCTTGAATTTAATTTTGAAAGTTTATAATTTAAATATAAGTTTTGATGACATCAATAATTTTTTTTAATGAAGTTAATGAATAGTGAATTTCAAGAGTAAAATTTGAGTGTCAAAATTCAAGTAAAACTTTGATAATAACTTGAGTAAATAGTTTACTCATAAAAAAGAATTAATGCCAAACATTGAGTATAATGCATGAATAAGAAAAATATCGATCATTGATAAAGATGAATATCCAATACTAAATATCATCTTTGAAAAGATACCTATACCACATACTAAATAGGTAAATTTTTTCAGGAGGGTGGAATAGGAGAATGGTGTTGGCTTACTAAGGAGGGGATGGCTTTGTAAAGGTCAATAGGGTGAAGCCGTTGTACACGGAGAATGCGACAGTGGCCACCGGCCTGGGAGTGGAGGATTATGGTGCCTTTTAATTTTTTTTGGGGAAATGCTCGTGCGTGGTTTATGTTGTTCTCGGTGGAAATTGTTTGTGGTGAGTTGGTTAGCTAACCAAGGAGTTTGCTTCATGGACTCAAGGAGATGTGAATCTCTATCTCCGACTACCTTTCGCTAATGTGAGTATGCTCTTTAGGTTGTAATTAAATACTACAAATGTAATAGCCGTTTTATTTAATTATTTCTTCCGCAAAAATTTCTATTTAAACGCCACGTGGCTCAACACCACGTATATATAGATTTGGTGCTAATGCATACTAATAGGATCATCAGATCGAATGCTAATAGACAATTCTTGACCACTTCAACTTAAAAGGACTGATGCAACAATCCATGAAAAGAACTTTTCCCCACTGCTTTAATAGGGTGTTTACTAGTCTTCCATCTTAATGGTAATCTAATGTGGTGCATTATACACTGATTGTGACAACCCTCAGCTTCGACATTGTGCCAATTCAGAGTCACAATTTATCTCAGCATTATGCCCTTCAATTATTTTGCAGTATTTAATATACTAGCTACTTTCATTAAATATTTAGAGGCAGTTTGGTTCTAAAAAAAGAATGAAGTATAAAAAAAATGTCATGTAAAAATAATGTTTTAGAATTGTTTAGATGATTGTAAAAATACAAAGAGGTTATGATCGGGGTGGCCGGCGGTGGTTGGGGTGGCGGCTAGCGAGCAGCAGCAGCAGCGTGGCCATAGATGGTGGCAATGGTGGTGAGTTTACGATATATTTGAAAATAGCTTTAACTGAAAGAATTCAAAATACACCCAAAAAATTAGATGTGGTATTCCAAATGCACTAAAATTTAATTTTAATTTTTTTCACTTAAAATAAAATATTAATATTTTTAAAATCTTTATATTGCGAGTATTTCCTTGCAAGCAATCAAACAGCCTCTATAGTAAATAGTATCTGTAGCAGGCTGGAGAACGGAAGAGAAAAAAAGATAAAGAAACTTGGTTCTGGTTTATTGCTTCGTTTGGGACGACTTTCGTCCCGAAAGAAGCCTAAGCTACAGAACTATCACGTCACAATGATACCGAGAATGGCTAATAAACTATAATTTAAAAAAAAAAAAAACTTATTCCTCTCCTATTAATTATATAACTAAGTATTCAACACCTTCCATGAATCATTCCTAACCAGCTTACAATTAAAATTCGGAGGCATGGCAAGGATCCTCCTCATCCTCCTCCTCTCCTCCACCCTCATCCTCCACTCCGCCCCCACCGACACCATCACTCCGTCCCAACCTCTCGCCGCAGGACAAACCATCATCTCCGCCGGAGGCACTTTCGAACTAGGATTCTTCAACGCCACCACAACTTCCAGCTCTTTCTTAGGCATATGGTATCACAAAATTCCCATTCGCAAAATCGTATGGGTCGCTAACCGTAAATCTCCGATCACCGCCCAAAAAGCCACCCTTTTTCTAACCACCGACGGCAATATTCTCATCACCGCCGGCGACGTCAACAGCGGGGGCATCAAAACCGTTTGGTCGACGAACACCTCCGGCGTAAAAATTCCATCTTTGAAACTCCTCGACTCAGGCAACCTTGTGCTGACCGACGGTCGCTCAAATGCCATTATTTGGGAGAGCTTTGACTACCCTTCCGACACTTTACTCCCCAATATGGAACTCGGTTTAGACTTAAGACGTCACCTTGACAAGCACCTCAAGTCTTGGAAATCCCCCGACGACCCATCGCCGGGCTTGTACACCTTCGGCCTTCACCACACCGGTTCATCGGAGCTCGTACTCTGGAACGGTTTAAACATCAAGTTTCGAACCGGGCCATGGACCGGAGTTTCATGGAGCGGCAGCCCCCACGTCTCGGATGACCACTTCATTTGCTCCTTTGTGGTTCAACCCGACAAAGTTGTCTACACATACGAAAAGGTTAATACATCTGCAATGTCTATATCAAGCGTCGATCCTAGCGGCAAGTTGCAACGGTTGGTGTGGCTCGGCGGCCAGTGGAAGCTGTACTTCACGCTGCTGCAGGACGATTGCGACCGGTACGGCACTTGCGGGGAGTTCGGGATATGCAACGTGGGTTACCCTGAAGGGATTTGCAGGTGTTTACACGGGTTTGAACCGAGCACGATGGTGGATTGGACGTTGAAGGATTATTCGGGCGGGTGTAAGAGGAGAACGGCGTTGGCTTGCTCTGGAGGAAGGGATGGCTTTGTTAAGGTGAGTGGTGTGAAGCCGCCGGACACGGAGAACGTGACGGTGGTCGCTGGCCTAGGAGTGGAGGAGTGTGGTGCTTTGTGTTTGGGGAAATGTTCGTGTGTGGCTTATGTTTTGCTTGGTGGGAATTGTTTGTGGTGGGTTGGTCACCTAATGGACATCAAGCAGTTTGCTCAAGGAACTCAAGGAGGTGTGGATCTCTATCTCCGGCTAGCTGCGGCTGATTTGGGTATGCTCTTTAGGCCTTATTTAAATAATACGGACGTACGAATTAGCCTTGTTAATTAATTACTCTTTCATAAAAATATCCTATTTGCTACGCCTCCATTGACCTAAGAATTTCTTATACATGAAGATTCAGCAAAAAGTGCCTCAAGCAAGAAGAAGTATATAGTTGCAGTAGTCATCCCATTGGGGCTAGCTTTTATCATATTCTCCTGCTTTGGGATATATACATTAAGGAAGAAAATAAAGCAGGGTAAGTTATCTATCAAGATGTACCTTCAAAATTTGTTTTTTTTTTTTATTTGTAATGATAGAAACTGTTTAAATAGCTCCAAATTCTAAAGAATTATATGTGGTTTAGTCTGATTTTGGAACTTAAATAATTTTTAGTGATCACAGAACTTTTACTCAACTACTAGAGAAAAGCATGACGCATATTATTTACTTTTGACTGTTTAAAACTTGTTGGCTAGGTGTAGCACATGGTTATGCCACGGAGAGCATAAGAAAAGAGATGGAACTTCCCGTATTTGATATGTCTGTAATTGAGATGGCTACAAATAACTTTTCTGAGGGAAATAAGCTTGGACAGGGAGGATTTGGCCCTGTTTATAAGGTAACTTTACCACTCATCATTTAACATTTTTAATCTACTAACAAAATGTTGGAAATTAGCAGGGTCATTTAGAAGATGGACAAGAGATTGCTGTCAAGAGATTATTCAAATATTCAGTTCAAGGGTTGGACGAGTTCATGAATGAGGTTATGCTAATTGCAAAACTTCAACACAGGAATCTAGTTCGTCTTCTTGGCTGCTGCATCCAGGGAGAGGAAAGGTTATTGATTTATGAGTACATGCCCAACAAAAGTTTGGATTCTTCCATATTCGGTTAGTGCCAAACACTACTTAAAATGTCATATTTATTTTCTTTGATGAATTACAATCTCATCTATGTATTAGCGCCGAACAATTTAAATCATCTATGTATTAGCGCCGAACAATTTAACTAAATGGGCATGTTGATAGTAGTGAAATGATGTAGGTGAGTTATGGTCCTTATAGGATTTAAGTAATTTATGTTCCGAATTTGTTGTTTGGATCGAAGCTTTTATTACCATTAGAATATGCCGCTTTATGATTTATTTGATTGGGCTACGAGGACATATGATGTACGACTAAATGCTTTAAATGAATGAAATAAGAATTTGCACGATTTCTTGAATTAAGCTCGTAAGATTACCACTATTAGCAATCAAAACGACAATAGAAAACAAAAGAGGGGTGCCTACGTTTAGGCTAAGTCACTTGCCAAACATTTGAAAAATCAAAATAAGCTAGAAATTCAACAACATGCTACATAAATAGTTTTCAACAAAATCCCTAATCTAATAGTTAGATTAGGAGTATAGAAAGTGCACTCAATCCTACGCTTACTAAGTTTCGGGCAAGGCGAAACAAAATCCTACGTTTACTAAGCTTAGGCAAAGGTGAAGCACGGCTCCTTGTGAATCGTAATCACCTGCAAGATTAGGGGATTAGAAAGGTAATTGAAAAGGGGAAAAAGTTCACCTTAGTCCAATTCCGAAACAAGTAGTCGAGTTGTTGAAGAAGTTCATCGTAGTCTCCTAGAGAGAAAGAAGTTTCTCTGGCGTTGAAGTGTTGAACATGCTAGTTGGTACTTCCCTTGAAGGCTCCTATTGAAAGAGAGGAGCTTAGCTCAAAACCCCCAAGGAAGAAAGGGGAATAAGTGGCTGGCCATGGGGGAAAGATATTAGGGAATTTGGGTTCAGATTTTGTGAAGGGATTTTCAAATCATTCATTAGTTATTCCCCTTGATTGAAAAGAATTAACAAAGGGGAAGAGAGAGAGGGACGGCGGGCAAGAGAGAGGGAGGAATTTAATTTAATTCCAAATGGGGGAGATCCTCTTTTAGAAAGATTTTGAATAGATTGGGGGCATGGAGATTTCGGCCAAGAGGGAATAAAGAAGACTTGAATTATTTCCAAAATGGTAGCTTGAGTTTTGGAAATAATTTCAAAAGGAATTTATTGGGGCCGGCGGCATAGGGGAATAGAGGGAGGACTTAAGGGGGCTTTTAATGCCTTCTTGATTTAAGGAATCAAATTTGGGAAGAAAGATTTCATCCAAGCTTAATTCAAAATTCAAACATGAAGGGATTTAAAACTTTCCTAAAATAGGATGTATATTTTAGGAAATAATTTAAAATTCAAATAAATTTGAATTTTGAAATTATTTGAGTTTCCTAAAATATGAAGAGTTAATTTAGGAAATAGGTGATAGCAATTAGTGAGGGAAGGGAAGGCAAAGGGGAGTGGACGGCGGGTGGAATGGGGTTCGGGTGAAGATGGATGTAAGGTGGCCGGCGGCTTAAGGAGATGGGAATAATGCCTAGGTCGTCGGCTAGTTGGCGTGGGGTTAGGTGGCCGGTGGTGATGAGGGGTTTAGAACGTGGAGATGAGATGATTAAAGGAAAGGGAAAAAGAAAGAGTAATAAACCACAAATCCGGCCGTCTCCAAGGTTGGTGGGTGATCCAAATTCTCCCTCCTAGAGATCTCGCTCTCTCTACAAGCACCCTCAAGATCTCCCAAAACTCAAGCACTCCCAAAACTCAAGCAATAGCATAAATTTTTTTATCATTCAATCAGGGGCGGAACCGGCTTCAATTTTGAGGGGGGGCAAAATACAACACAAAAATAATTAAATATTAAAAAAATAATATTATATATCTATATATTAAAAAAGTTCTTTAAAAAAAATTAAGAAAGAAAAATAATGAAAAAAATGTGTAATTAAACTGTCATGAAAAACATAAAGAGAATATTAAAATTAAATGTGAAGAAATATATAGATATTTTAGGGCAAATAGGACAAAAGAGTTTTTTAGGGGGGAAAAAAAATTTTTTTACACTCCTATACATTTTTTATTTTTTTTTACTCTTACAACTTTTTTTGAGGGGGGGCAATTGCCCCCCCTAAGCAAGAGGTTGTTCCGCCAGTGCATTCAATCATTAACTTTCAAAGAGAAACATAGGGGCTATAAATAGGCTCGTACATAAAACTCAAAATAAGAAAGACGACAATACCCTTAGGGCTTACCTACAACTTCCCTTAAGCAAGGGGTAAAACGGGAAAAAATAAATACAACATAAATAACAAATAATATAATAAAGCAAATACATGAAATAACTCAAAATACATCGACGCGATCGTAGCCATAGATCGACTGCCACGCCTCTAATATATGATTCGTGCTCTGATTTTCTCATCAACATATAGCACTAAGTACTTGTTTTCATTGTTTTTTATTAAAAAAATCTAATTACTTACCGAGTTATTGGACATAAGTAAGTTTTTCAATTGTTTATTTACTAGCCCAAGTATCTAGTTGAAAGATATGTGCATAAGGTTGTAAGACCTTTGTCCAGTAGCAAGTGGCTAAAAGTTGGCTAGTCTTTGCTTGAGTATTTTTTGATTGATGCAAAACAAAAGAACTGAAACATTTACTTCAATGTGTTGGATGGTTCATTGTGACCGAGCAATTTATAAAGCAGGTCAAAGAGGTTGAAATAATAATGCATTTCTTCTATGCATTGATAAATAAATGTCAATAAATGTTCAAAAGAGTGGTATTTGTCAATAGATGTAGATATATTTTCAATCTCAAAGTGGTTAAATAATTTATGAACATTTAGACATACCCGATTCTTTAAGTGTGGCATAATACTAAGTTAAGTGTGGCAGAGATGAGGATGCTTAGATGGATGAGTGGCTTTACCCTTAGAGATAGGATACGAAATGAGCATATACGTGAAAAGGTTGGAGTAGCTCCAGTAGAAGATAAGATTAGAGAGAGTCGCCTTAGATGGTTTGGTCACATAAAAAGTCGGCCTTCCGACGACCCAGTTAGGAGAGTAGAGGTATTAGATTTGACTTGTGTTAAGAAAGGTAGGGGTAGACCTAAAAAGACTTGGTTAGAAAATATTAGGAATGACCTTTCTTTATTAGATTTAAACGAGAATTTGGCTTTTAATAGGACACAATGGAGAAAAAGGATTCATGTAGCCGACCCCACGTAGTGGGATAAAGGCTTGATGTTGTTGTTGTTGTTGTAGACATACCCGATTCTTTAGAGAAGGCCAACGAGTAAGAAGATATACCTTCTTTTCATTTCTAGATACTGTTATGATCGTTGCTGGAGAAAGAAGCTATTCTTGGGCTTTCATGCAAGAGAGGAGAGAGGGGGAGGAGAGGCAGAGAGGGATAACATGAATGATAAAATTCCCTTACTAACTGAGCTTACAAGGGGCATTTCTTTACATCAACCTACACATCCTATTTATAGACTTACATTGATAAGATGTCAATGTGGATCAACCTAACCTAAAACGGACCAATTTACAACAAATACCAATAAAAGAGATACTTCATTTTCAACCTACCTCAGGCTTCTTGGTCTTAATTCAAGAAGTTTAGAATAAAGCAAGGATTTTTTTTTCATTTGTTCCATTTTTTTGGGCTTACATAAATAATGAAAAGTAACCATCATTCTCCACTACCACTGAGCACCAACTAACTTCTTATTCCTGCAGTTGATTCAGCTAAGTCGAACCTCTGATACAACAGCCACTCTTCTTTCTGTTTTATGTAATTATCAAGGATAGTTTAGACTTTTTCTCCTGCTGTGAAAATGCCTTGCTTTGCTACAGTAATGATATACTTGAAACTTTAGCCAAAACCAGTTGTTCTTCTCTTCGTTTTTGTCTTTCTTATGGATAAAGTTCCGAGAGGATCACGGCCCTTAGTTTCTCATGGTATCAGAACTAGCTTGCCTAACGGCTCTCCATCTTGTTCGGAATGGGAGACTCAACGGCTGCCTCGACATCTTCTACACCTCCGGCAATCACCCACGAAAACCATACCAACGCCGAAGTTCTTATCCCTCCCACCCTCAAGTTTCTACTCTCTAACATTAAGAATGTTAGCAACATTCAATTACTTCCGGATAACTACCCGACATGGCGTTCAGTTATCCAAAAATTGTTTGCCGCCAACAGTTTTTCTGGCTATCTCGATGTCACTCAACCCGCACCTCCCAAGCATTTGTTGACCGCCACCGACCAACTTACCTTAAACCCCCAATTTTCTTCATGGACTCTAGTCGACCAAAACTTATTCGTTGCTCTTTTCTCTACCATTTCAGCCTCCATCTTACCGTATGTGTTAAACCTAGATACCACTGCATCTATTTGGAAAACTCTCGACCAGAGATTCTACTCTACCAATCGGTCTCAACTGAAAAATGAGCTGCATTCCTTATCTATGCAGAACAAAACTATGACCAAATATCTGGCATCAGTTAAAGTTCTTGTGGACAATATCAATGCTTCTGGCGGGTCCATCGGCAATGAGGGTGTTCTGCATTACATACTAAATGGCTTACTGCCTACTTATCGGTCGTTTAAAACATTTATTATATCCTCTCTTCATCCGATCAGCTTGGATAATCTCTATTCCCTGCTTCGGAGCGAAGAAGTTCACCAAACAACTGATGTTGTAAAAGAGCTCTCATTCGCCTCATCATCTAATCCCCCTGACCCCGCACTAGCCATATACTCCAATCGTGGGCGAGGTCGAGGCCGATTCAACACCTCACGAGGTCGTGGTCGCAGTTCAAATTTCAACCGCAGCTCTAAGCCACCTCGTTTCGATGGACAATGTCAAATCTGTGGTAAATCTGGCCACTCAGCTGTTACATGTTGGCACAGAGGAAACTTTCAATACAACTCTCCATCTCTAGCTAATGACGTAGCTCTTATTGCCAATAACAACACCATTGATTCTGCTCCTTGGTATCTTGACAGCAGCGCTACAGCTCATCTTTCTTCGGATCCGCTACCCCTTCAGCAGCCTTATACTTGGTAAAGATCATGTGTTGGTTGGCAACGACACATCTCTACCCATACGTCATCTTGATAATGGTTTACTTCCCACACCCACTCGTAAGCTCTTCCTTAATCCTTTACTTCTTGTTCCAAATTTAACTCATCTCCTCCTTTCCATTTCGAAGCTCATACATGATAATCATTGTTCTATTATTTTTGAAAAATTGGGCTTTCATGTCAAGGATCCGATGACCAACAAAACGTTTCTCAATGGACCTTGCCATAATGGCCTCTACCCACTCTCAATCGCTCCCACTTCTACTACAACCATCGCCCACTCTGCTACAGTCTGCTCCTCGTCCTCTGCTTCTATTTGGCATCACCATCTGGTCATCCCCACTATAAAGTTTTTCAAACTTTATCAAAACAACAACCTACTTTATGTATTTCTTTCTCTAGTTCTACTTGTAATTCCTGTGAACTTGCTAAAAGTCAAAAACTCCCCTTTTCCCCCTCCAACCATGTATCTACTTCTTTTTTGGAACTACTCCATATGGATGTTTGGGGGCCTTCACCGGTTCTCTCTTATGATGCCAATCGGTACTATTTATTAATAGTTGATGATTTCACAAGGTTTTCTTGGATTTTTCCTTTAATTCAAATCAGATGTTCCACAAACCTTAATTCAATTCATTCGTCTTATTGAAAAACAACTCAATCGTTCCGTCGCAAAGTTCGATCAAATGGCGGAGGCGAATTCGTTAACACCACTTTAAAAAATTTCTTTTCATTCTCTTGTATTACACATCAGCTAACATGTCCTCATACCCCTCAACAAAATGGCGTCGCTGAACGCAAACACCGTCATCTCATTGAAACAACTCGAACCTTGCTAATCGACGCTAAAATTACTTCCACTCTCTGGATAGAAGCCTTGCGCACCTCCCTCTACCTAATAAATAGACTCCCTTCCTCTCACAATATTGTTAAATCTCCTTTTGAACTTCTTTATAACTTAAAACCAAATTATAGCCATTTGCGCATATTTGGCTGCCACTGCTACCCATGGCTTCGCCCATACGCCCCACATAAACTCGCAGCACGCTTTATGCCGTGTCTTTTTCTTGTCTATGCTTTTCAACATAAGGGCTACAAGTGCTACAATCATGATACCGACAAGATACATATTTCTCGCCATGTTATTTTTGGCGAGAACACCTTTCCCTCCATACCTTCACTTCAATCTGAAGCAACAAACTTTCCAACCATTCCCTCAATACCACACTTTCCACCCATCCCCATATCTCCCATAACCTCCACAGAGCAACCAACCTCACATCAACCTTCCACCTCTTCACAATCTCCCAATGCCTCCCATCAGATATCAACTTCACATACATCCCATGCCTCGTCACCACCCCTTACCCCCTCAAATAACACCACTAGCTCCACATCCTCCTCCACATTACCTCACCATCCAATGATCACAAGATTTCAAACCGGCTCCCTAAAGCCCCGCCAAATTTTAAATCTTACCCAAACTGCCGAAATTACTCCCACCTGTTATACCACAGCCAGCAAATCCCCACATTGGCGAAATACTATGTCTGCCGAGTTCAATGCCCTTAATGCTCAAGGCACTTGGTCTCTTGTCACACCTCCTTCAAATCAACAAGTGCTAGGCTACAAATGGATCTATAAAATAAAACGGCACGCCGACGGTTCCATCACTATACATAAAGCACGTTAGTCACTCAAGGATATCAACAAGAATATGGAATCGACTTTCATGAAACCTTCAGTCCTGTCATCAAATTCCCCAACATTCGTATTTTTCTAACTTTTGGCTTGCATTACAATTGGCAAGTTTTCCAACTCGACGTGGTCAATGCCTTTCTCCATGGCAAGCTCGACGCAACCATTTATATGGCTCAACCGCAAGGCTTCCAAGACTCTCAATTTCCAAACCACGTCTGTCTCTTAAATAAGTCAATCTACGTTCTAAAGCAGTCTCCTCGCCTCTGGTTGGCTACTGTATTTTCCTTGGAAAAGCTCTAATTGCATGGACACTAAAGAAACAAACGACCGTTGCTAGATCTTCCACGGAGGCGGAATACAGGTCTCTTGACGCAGCTGCTGCCGACCTCATTTTGATTCGTTGCCTATGTGCTGACTTTCACATTCCCTTGGAGCAAACTCCCATTTTATGCGACAATATTTCTGCACTTTTTATAACCAAAAATCCAATTTTTCATGCCCACACTAAGCACATTGAGATCGATCATCACTTTCTTCGGGACAACATTTAAGCAAAGCACATTGTTGTACAACACATTGCTACTTAAGACCAAATAGCGGACATGCTTAGAAAGCCTCTACATCTCTCCAAGTTCCAAATACTTCGCACCAAGTTAATGGTTGTTCCGCCCATTAACTTAAGGGACAGTGAAAAGTAACCATCATTCTCCACTACCACTGAGCACCAACTAACTTCGGATTCCTGCGGCTGATTCAGCCAAGTCGCACCTCTGAGACAGTAGCCACTCTTCTTTCGGTTTTATGTAATTATCAAGGATAGTTTAGACTTTTTCTCATGTTATGTTCACAGGTGTACTTAATGTCTTGCTTTGCTATAGTAATGATATACTTGAAACTTTAGCCAAAACCAGTTGTTCTTCTCTTCGTTTTTGTCTTTCTTCTGGATGAAGTTCCGAGAGGATCACGGCCGTTAGTTTCTCAAATAACACTAGCCTTCTTCAATCACTAAATGGCTTTACTATAGTCTTATTTATTCATAGCTCTATTTAAAATGGGTTGAATTTTATATATTCAAACTCATGAAAAAAGTATTCTATAACTAGGAGAGTCGTCCACCTTCTATTGGTCTTTTTGTAAGGTTCTAATTTCTATGAGAAGAAATTTTCTGAAAATCAGTCATAGTATTATGTAGTATCATGGCCATTAATATTATCTATTTATGTTGTACATATTATGTACTTCTAATATTTGAGAATTATATTGCCGTCAAATAATTTTTTATGATTTTTATCAACTATTTTTTTCCCCTTGTAATGTTAAAATAAAATAACATATTAAAGCAGATAAAACAGTCAGCTCTCAGTTGGATTGGCAAAAACGATTTGATATAATTCTTGGAATCGCACGAGGACTTCTCTATCTTCATCAAGATTCTAGATTAAAAATTATTCACAGAGATCTCAAGGTTAGCAATATTCTTCTCGACAAGGAGTTGAATCCCAAAATTTCTGATTTTGGCTTGGCAAGGATTGTTGGAGGAGAACAAATGCAAGAAAGCACACAAAAAGTGGTTGGCACATTGTAAGTTTTCTATCACTCTCTATTTCAATAGCTATGGTATGAACCTTCCCAATATCTTATAACTCACATATATTTATATGACAGTGGATATATGTCGCCTGAGTATGCAATGCATGGTGTATTTTCAGTAAAATCTGATGTCTATAGCTTTGGAGTTATTGTACTTGAAATCCTTACTGGTAAGAAGAATAGTGTATTTGATCCAAATGAGAGCCATGTGAGCCTCGTAGGGCATGTAAGTATTATTAGAGAAGAGAAATAAATTTACACGTTGGCTTTTATTTTAAACCAATTCAAATTTAAGAATGCTTGTGCAGGCCTGGACACTATGGTCAGAAAATAAATCCCTGAAGTTGGTCGATGATGCGCTGAATTATGGCTATCATGAGCAAGAAATTCTGCGATGTATGCAGGTCGGTCTCCTTTGTGTGCAAGAAGGGAGTGAAGACAGGCCTACTATGGCTTCAGTGGTTTTGATGTTGAGCAGTGAAACCATGACATTGCCTCAACCTAAGAGGCCTGGTTTCTATCTCAAAGATGATTATGAAGTACCAGATTTCTCAATGTCGGATCCTGTCGATTGTTCCAGATATGATATCACTCTTACAATGATCCATGGTAGATAGAGAAGTTGAACCAAAACCTATTAATAGCCAGGGTGGTATAAATGATTGTGATAATGTGGCTGGCGCCCAACTAATTAATCAAGATGTTGCCGATGTATGGACTATTTTTGCATAGCCATTGTATATTTCAAGATTATTATAGGTAGGAAGTTGTGTGCTACTTCTCAAAAGTGATATTCTTCATCACTCAACAGTGCAGCTACTTGATGTGTTTGTTATTAGTTATGCTTTTATGGCTTATAGGCAACATAAGCGCTGCAGTTGCTTTATATTGCTCTTTAGTCTCTGATTTGTTTAGGTATTTCAATAAAGCTGAGCTTGATTTGGTTTGCAGTCAACTCCCAATTGTAAATCGAATAATATTTCTAATGCAGATCGAAAAATACTTTTCTTGTTGTTTAGTTTGGTTTGGTTTGGCTTGCTGTGAACTCCCTATTGTATATCAAATGTTGTAGCCAATAAAGTTCTAATAAAGTTGATGGTTTGAGATATATTGATAGTTTGATAGCCCGACAGTCAATCAATAGCTTGCCTTGGGAATTAGCCCTTCCTCGAATAGTCGTCAGGATCGGCTGCATAAATAGGAGTGGCTAGGGCCAACCATCAGGCTTTTCTCGCCTATCAAGATGAGTTTTTTTTTTATGATAGTCGTTTGCTTAAGACGAATTCTCTACTAGGCCAATAGGTACAAGACTAAGATTTCGTTTGGGACGGCTTTCTTCCTACTTCTTAAAGCGACTTTTTAGTATAAATATTAAAAATTTTGTACTAAAAAGCAGCTTTAAGAAGCAAGAAGAAAGCCGTCCCAAACAAAGCTTAAGTCGATCTTTGCTTGATATGGCTTGAATTAGCTTGAACCAGGTCGACTTAATTTGAACGAAATTTTTTGGATATTCATTTTTTAAAAAAATGTTTAAATATATATATATATAATTTATTTATTTATTGCAGAAGCTAATTTTGAGTTTAATTTTATTAATATTTTAATTTTGTTTTCAGATAAAGATTTAAAATTCTAATTCAAAATGATTCGAAAATAAATATCATTTTTAAACATTTATTTTTATTGGTATATGCAGCTAAATTTAATAGTCTGGCCTGGTCTTCCAAGTTCGTTAAATCCAGTGCTAGCTACTTGTTAACATAGTCTAGCAGTACATCTCACCTCCACTACTTGCTGCAGCTAACTAACCACATGGCTTTCGGTTTTCCACCAAAAGCAATGATTGTCTTTCGGTATTAACAGAGCATATATATGTATACTGTAGCAAACCAAGGCATCAATGAGAAAATGGCTTAACTCATCTTCTTCTTCACTTGCTCTTTCTCTAACATGTTTGCAGGTGTTTTCTTTAATTTTTGTATTAAAAAGCTGCATTAAGAAACAGATAAAAAGTCATCCTAAATAAAACCTTAGCCCATAAAACTACAACAAATTCTCCGGCTAACTGAAATAATGCATAAGAAAAATAAATTAGATTATTATTATAATAGCCGCCAAAATGCATTAGTGAATATGATCAATAGTCATCACATCTGGACTTATAACTAATTAAACCAGAAAAACCAATTAGACAATCATTGGCTACCAACAAATTTAATTGGTGGAGATTAAATACATGATAGCTATAGAAAGGCCATAAGTTGATAAATAGAAAAGCTTTCCCTCTTCTATAAAAATTATAATTAACATCATGCAATCTGTGTAGTATAAATCTCAGAAGAAAAGCTTTAGGCTTTGTTTGGGACGGCTTTCTCATTGCTTCTTAAAGCTGCTTTCTAGTATAAAAATTAAAATTTTTATACAAGAAAGCTGTTTTAAGAAGCAATAAGAAAGTCGTCCCAAACGAAGCCTTTAGTATCATGAACTTTTAAGATAGAGAAGAAATTTAAGAAAAGCCCAAAACAGAAATACTGATGGAAAATGGGAAAATTGCAAAGAGTAAATTCTTAATTTTCATCGTGACTTCAGAAAAAGATCAATAAGAAGATGAAGAATACTATAGCAAAATCACTTGTTACCGACCGACAAAATCTGTTAGTAACGACGATAATCTACATGAAATTATACATTTATGACAAATTTCCGACTGAAAAGTGTTCAACGGTAAATCACACGTCAAAAAGTCTATTCCGGTAGAAATTACTGGTGGAATTCCGACAGAAAAAGAAAAGCAGAAACGTCATTTCCCTGGTATGAGTTCCCACATTTTATCCGCCAAAATTTCCGGTGGAATTTTATCGCCGGTAGTTTCAACGGATTATCGCTAGGCTATTCCGCCGGACATATACCGACAGGTGAAATTGGCAGAGAATTCTTCAAAAATACCTGCAGCAAATTTCCACCGGAATGTTGATACTTTTTGTCATATCATTGCTTCTGACAGATTATCTGTCTGAAACATATAGCAAAAAAAAAAAAAAATAGTCCTTAGGGAAATATTTTCTACAGCATAACCTGCATTAAAAATTTCAAAACTATATTCATTTATCCATAATCATTTATACAGAATCATCATCGAACATTGAACATTAACATATAAACATAAATATTTCATATTTATTGATCATTCACCAAATAGTTTAAAATGAAATTTAAAGTTCATTCGTTTAAAACTACACAAATGTCCAAAAATAAATAACTACATATGTCCATAAATAAGAAAATAACATCTACAAATAATAAGTCTTCTCCTCTACTGAACTTGTCTGGTTTCCGCTGAACTGCTCCCTCATTTTGTGTAGTTCATCCAATAAATGAGTTTGTTGCATTTGCATCTGCACTTGCCAGCCTTCTTGTGATTTCCTGATTTTCTATAGCTCAGCTTGAAGGGTAGCTACCTGTTGGCTATATAACGACTCATGGGTACTTGCTAAGAAGCTGGAGCCATCAGATATCTGCCTCTCGTATGCATATGCTTGCAAGCCTAAACTATAAACCCTATCATGTTGTATTCATCCTATTGCTTGTGACCAAGTGCGGTAGTTAGATTATTTTGCTGATCCAACAAAAGAACCCTCACTTGCTCCTGCATGACTCTCTCAAAGTCATGTATCCTCATCCTATAAAAGTTAATAAAAATTCAAGAAATTTACACATGGCATCAAACATTACATCATCTGCAGTATAGATCAACAATTACATCATCTGGTCTTAGGTGCACTTTATTTTTATGTTAAGAATATATACATTGAAACTTTCCATCTAAGATGAAGCTGGACAATTGATAAGCTATCTAAATGAAAAAATTCACTTAATTAATGAACTCATCTGTCAATGTCTTTCATCCTTGTGCAAATTGGTTTTACATCTAACTTCTTTGATTTCTAATATTCATATTATAGCTTTCATATTATATGAAGATATTAAATATTGTTGTAACATGTGTTGAAGAAAAATAGATGGATTTCAATTTTATTTGTAAATCAAATGGTGTTATTTCATACAGGTCTCCTATTAATGAAAAAACAAGCACCCTCCCAACATCTCCCTCGTTTAGGAAAAATATAAAGAGTCTTAGCCTGCCCGCCATGTCAAAAAAGAAGTGTACTCTCGGTGTCGAATGACACCGCGACTGTGGCCTTCAATCCTTCCACTCCAAGAAAGATGTGTATAAGTCTTCAACGGGGTACCTGTTTGAAAACACAATCTAAGAAAGAGATATTCTAACAAGTTTATCAACATAAGTCAAATATAATACCTCTACAGCTTTCTTAACATAAACAAAATCTAATACATCTACTTTCCTAATTAGTTCATCGAGAGCGAGGAGGCTAAAGTTTTATCTAAGCATTCTCATCTCTTTACCACACAATAGGCACGATGCATTTCTCCACTTCTTAACATAAATCAAATCTAATACTTTTCTATCACACAATAGATACAATGCATTCCTTCACTTCAACCATCCAACTTGAATTCTACTAATAATATCTCCATCTATTTCACAATTACTTTCAACAATAGATCCAAGATATCTAAAATGTGTACTCTTATTATTAACTTAATCTCCCAATGTCTACCAAGAATAAAGAAAACCTAATGTTTGAACTCCCTCTCTAGTTTTATTAAGGAGAAGAATATCATCATAATGACTTCCAAATGTCTACCGAGAACATCCATGAACAAAGAAAAACTAATGTGCGACTTACAATGGCGGATTGATGGAGGCATCGGCGGAGAACATCGGTGGAAGAGGCATGTCGGCGATGGAGGCACATCGACAATGGAGGCACGTCAGCGATTGAGGTGTTGGTGTCGACGAAGGTGAGTGCGATAGCGAAATATAATGAAATGAGAAGAGCATCGGTGTAGAAATGGAAATAGGGCTCTTTCCCGCAGGTTTTCGTTGAGTTTAAGTAAGCCGTCGAAAATTCAATCGGAAGTTCTGTCGGTATTTTCCAGTGTAAATTTCACTAGCATTAAACGCACGCCGACTTTGCACACTCTGGCGGTTAGACCAACGGTTTTTCCACTGGTAAATTTTTGACATTTTCTCGCCGAAAAGCCGTTGCTTATTTTTTGACGGAATATTCACCGAGTAGACCACTACTTATACCGGCAAGCAAATATACACCGAAAATTCCACCGGTAAACGAACATTTTCTTCTAGTGGAAGCTTTTTTAATGACTCTTTCAAAACCCTTCTTCCCGTGAAGCGGGTGAAACTGAAAAGATTGTGGTCATATTCTCTCAGATATTAGCAACACACAAATATAAGCATAGCACAAAATTAGAAAAATTAGAAAAAAAAAAAGTTCAACCAGCTATTTATAGACCAAACACTTGAGGGCTTGTATTGCATATGCAAGGAAACATTTAATTTAGGCATTGTTATGAAATATAAGAACCAACAAAAGCACCACATTTCAAAAATAAGTTTAACTAACTATTTATAAGAACCAACATTCAAAAATTACTTGATTTTGAACAAACTATTACATATTAATATAGAATGTTTAATTAAGGCAATGTCATAAAATTTATTATTGAACAAAATTTTTGATAATAACCATTGACGAATTGTTTTTAGAAAGAAATATAATTAGTGTCATGGAGTATTCGCGACGGGAGAAAAATATAAAGCTTAACGTCTTAGCTTTATACGAAAATCCGGCATGAAATCAGATAAGAGAGAGGGTGTACATCATTTGAACCCGGGTCAGTTCCGAATTCGACCCGAACCCAACCCGTGATCCGAAATTGACACGCCTAGTGGAAATTGTTTATGGTGGGTTGGTTGGCCAATAGACATATCAAGGAGTTTGCTTCATGGCCACAAGGAGATGTGGATCTCTATCTCCGGCTACCTTTTGCTGATTTGAGTATGATCTTTAGGCAGTAATTAAATACTATATATATATATATATATTTGGTGGAAAATTTCTATCTGTACGTCACGTGGCTAATGCATACTAATAGGATCATCATATCGAATGTTAATTAATCCAGCAAGTGGAAAATTTTTGACCACTTCAACTTAAAAGGATTGAAATCACAATCCATGAAAAGAACTTTTCCCCCACTGCTTTAATTCGGCGTTTACTAGTCTTCCTCCTTAATGGTAATCTGCTTCGGTGCATTATACACCGTCAGCTGCCACGTCGTGCCAATTCAGAGCCTCAATTCTGAAAAAGAATGAAGTAAAAAAAAAAAAAAAATGTCATGTAAAAATAATGTTTTTGAATTGTTTAGATGATTGTAAGAATAATTTGTGATATTATTTTTTTTAATTTGATTTGAAGTAAAGTTAATGGGATATAAACGCAAAGAAGTTATCATCTGGGTGGCCGACGGTGACAGGGTGGCCGGCGGTGTTGGTATGGCTAGGTAGGCTAGCGAGCAACGGTGGAGGTTGCCCTAGATGGTGGCAATGGTGGTGAGTTTGCAATATATTTGAAAATAGCTTTAATTGAAAGAATTCAAAATACACCCAAAAAATTTAGATGGTGTATTTCAAATGAACTAAAATTTAAATTTAATTTTTTTAATTCAAATTAAACATCAATATTTTTAAAATCTTTGTATTTAGCGTATTTCTTTGCAAGCAATCAAACAGCCCCTATAGTAAATAATCTATGTAGCATTCTTAAACGACGACTTTCGTCCCCAGAGAAACTTAATAAATCTTAAAAAAAAAAAATTGATTAAATAAAAAAACTTATACATCTCCTATTAATTGTATAACACATTCCTTATGAGCCTACAATTAGAATTCGGAGGCATGGGAATGTTCCTCCTCCTCATCCTCCTCCTCTCCTCGAACCTCATCCACCACTCCGCCCCCACCGACACCATCACTCCGTCCCAACCTCTCGCCGCAGGACAAACCCTCATCTCCGCCAGAGGCACTTTCGAACTAGGATTCTTCAACGCCACCGCAACTTCCAGCTCTTTCATAGGCATATGGTATCACAAAGTTCCCATTCGCAAAATCGTCTGGGTCGCTAACCGCAAATCTCCGATCACCGCCCAAAATGCCTCTTTTTTTCTAACCACTGACGGCAATATTCTCATCACAGCCGGCGATGTCAAAAGCGGCGGCATCAGAACCGTTTGGTCGACGAACACCTCCGGCTTAAAAATTCCATCTTTGAAACTCCTCGACTCAGGCAACCTTGTGTTGACTGACAGTGGATCAAATGCCATTATTTGGGCGAGCTTTGACTACCCTTCCGACACTTTACTCCCCAATATGGAACTCGGATTAGACTTAAAACGTCACCTTGAAATGCAGCTCATGTCCTGGAAATCTCCCGACGACCCCTCCATAGGCTGGTACACCTTCGGTGTTCGCCAAACCGGTTCACCGGAGCTCATACTCAAGAACGGTTCAAACATTGAGTATCGAACTGGGCCATGGACCGGAGTTTCTTGGAGCGGCCTTCCCCAAGTCTCGGAAAACCACTTCATTTGCGCCTTTGTGGTTCAACCCGACAAAGTTTTCTACACATACGATACGGTTAATACATCTGCAATGACTTTAACACTCGTCGATCCGAACGGCCGTTTGCAACGGTTGGTATGGCTCGGCGGCCAGTGGAAGATGTACGTCACGCTGCAGCAGGACAATTGTGACCGGTACGGTACTTGCGGGGCGTTCGGGATATGCAACGTGGATTATCCTGAAGGGATTTGCAAGTGTTTACAGGGGTTTGAACCGAGGACGATGGTGGATTGGACGTTGAGGGATTATTCTGGCGGGTGTAAGAGGAGAACGAAGTTGGCTTGCTCAGGAGGAGGGGATGGCTTTGTTACGGTGAGTGCGGTGAAGCCGCCGGACACGGAGAACGTAACGGTGGTTGCTGGCCTAGGAGTGAAGGACTGTGGTGCTTTGTGTTTGGGGAAATGTTCGTGCGTGGCTTATGTTGTGCTTGGTGGGAATTGTTTGTGGTGGGCTGGTCAGCTAATGGACACCAAGCAGTTTGCTCAAGGAACTCAAGGAGGTGTGGATCTCTATCTCCGGCTAGCTGCCGCTGATTTGGGTATGCTCTTTTGGCCTTATTTAAATAGTACGGACGTATTAGCCATTGCTAATTAAATACTCTTTACAAAACATATCCTATTTGCTACGCCGCCGTTGACGTAAGAATTTTTTATGTAGATTCAGCAGAAAGTGCCTCAAGCAAGAGGAAGCATATAGTTGCAGTAGTCATCCCATTGGGGCTAGCTTTTATCATATTCTCTTGCTATGGGATATACACAATAAGAAAAAAAAGAAAGCAGAGTAAGTTATATATAAAGATGTACCTTCAAAATTTGTTTTTTTATTTGTAATGATAGAAATTGTTTAAATAGCTCCAAATTCTAAAGAATTATATGTGGTTTAATATGATTTTTGAACTTAAAATAATTTTTAGTTATCACAGAACTTTTACTATTGACTGTTTAAAACTTGTTGGCTAGGTGTAGCACATGGTTATGCCACAGAGAGCATAAGAAAAGAGACGGAACTTCCCGTATTTGATATGTCTGTAATTGAGATTGCTACAAATAACTTTTCTGAGGGAAATAAACTTGGACAGGGAGGATTTGGCCCTGTTTATAAGGTTACTTTGCCACTCATCATTTAACCATTTAGTCTACTAACAACATTTTGAATAAACATGAAAATTCGCTGAGCTAAAGTTAGTTCTCTCCAACATCTCTACTCCCATCTCCATTCCATTTTCATGTTTGATAAGAAATGCTTGTAACATTTAGCTATTGTTCATACAATATCTAATATTCTATTTTATCCCCCATTAAGATGCAAAAGTTGGAAGATGTAAATATGCAATGTTTGAAGCTTCTTGAATGTTGAAATTTGCAGGGTCATTTAGAAGATGGACAAGAGATTGCTGTCAAGAGATTATCTAGAAATTCAGTTCAAGGGTTGGACGAGTTCATGAATGAGGTTATGTTAATTGCAAAACTTCAGCACAGGAATCTAGTTCGTCTTCTTGGCTGCTGCATTCAGGGAGAGGAAAGGTTATTGATTTATGAGTACATGCCCAACAAAAGTTTGGATTCTTCCATATTCGGTTAGTTCCAAACACTACTAAAAATGTCCTACTTATTTTCTTTGATGAATTATAATATCATCTATGTAATAGCGCCGAACAATTTAACTAAATGGACATGTTGATTGTAGTGAAATGATGTAGGTGAGTTAAGCTCCTTGTAGGATTTAAGTAATTTATGTTCCGAATTTGTTGTTTGGATCAAAGTCTTTATTACCATTAGAATATGTGGCTTTATGATTTATTTGATGGGGCTACGAGGACATATAGCACTATGTATTTGTTTTCTTTATTTTTATAAGAAATTCTAATTACTTGCCTAGTTATTGGACATAAGTAAGATTTTTCATTTGTTAATTTGCTAGCACAAAGACTATCCAATTGTAGTATTTGTGCTTGTGCATTTACATTTACTAGCCCAAGTTGGCAGTTGAAAGATGTGTGCATAAGGTTGTAAGACCTTTGTCCACTAGCAAGTGGCTAAAAGTTGGCTAATCTTTGCTTGAGTATTTTTTGATTGATGCGAAACAAAAGAACTGAAACATTTACTTCAATGTGTTGGATGGTTCATTGTGACCAAGCAATTTATAAAGCATGCCTAAGAGGTTGAAATAATAATGCATTTCTTCTATGCATTGATAAATAATGTCAATAAATGTTCAAAAGAGTGGTATTTGTCAGTAGATGCAAATATATTTTTGTTGCGGACTAGAATATATGCGGCGATAGAGTTAGAAAATTTCTATCTCAACGTTATACGGATATCTAGCACACAAACATGAGAGAAATAACACCAGGATTTTTACGTGGAAAATCTTGGAAAGGGAAAAAATCATGGGCCACGCTCAGTTGAAATAATTCCACTAGTGTTTGTTTGAGGTACAAGAGGCTGACTCGTCCTTAAAATTTAGGACGATCAGATTACAATGAATCTCTTCAGGATTGAAAATCAGTTACAACGTCGAGCAGAGTTTCGGCATCACTTGGAGATTGGGCGGAATGTTGGTTTCCTTCGGAGGTCGGGTAGAATTATTGCGTCGTTCCGAAGTTGAGTAGAATTCCGGCATCGGACAGAACTCTAGCATCCCTTAAGCGTCGGACATAACTCCGGTGTCATTCGGAAGTCTGGCAAAATTCCAACGTCTGACAGAACTCCGGCGTCACTTGGGAAGAGTTCCGACATCCCTCGGGCGTCCGACAAAATTCCAGCGTCACTCGGACGGTCGGTGTCACGACCCGACCCGATCCGGGACTGATCCCGCTCGCACCGGGTCGCGACCAGAACGAACAGACTGACCAGGATCTGGTTATGGAATTTGATTCGGAACTGAATCTTCCAAAACTCAAACAGACACACAAACACAGAGCTACTATGAATCATCAAACACAGCGGAACAAAACATCTATATTTTATTTTCCTTTTCCTCAAAACAATCATCTACAAATACAGTACATGGCTTTTAACCAGAAAGAAAGACAGAACAGAAAAGCCATGACTGTACAAAAATCAAAAGGTACAAAAATACCTATACTGATCAGACTCTGAAATCTAATCCTGGACTTCCTTCCCTTTCCCAGAACCTGAAAACCACCAGAAAACAAGAGTGAGCTCAACAGCTCAGCAAAGCGACAAACCTCCAATCAAAATTCTCAGCACCAGAATAATAGAATTCATCGGATCTGGAATATAACAGATATTTCTCCAACTTGAGCTCATCTAAGTTTTCCCCAGACACTAACTGAATCTCATAGGATTCAGGCCCCTTATAACTCCCTTTTTATAGCATATACAGATAGCATATTAATTCAGAAGAAATCTGGACAAATCAGAAATCAGACAAAAATCGGGCAGCACAACGGCAGTATACGGAATTTACACAATTTTTCCTGAAAATCACAATTTACCAAATTTGCACATAATATAGATAATAACATTTCAGAACATTTATTCTACTGCACAGACAATTTTCAATTACACAGAAAAATCCAATCGACTAAAAACATCGTCGAATTAAAAATACCCGGACAAAAATCTTCAGAAAATAACCAAAATGTGCACACTCAGCACGTCAACAATATACAGAAAATTACACGGTAAAAACTGAACCAATCGAAAGATACGGATGAAAATCACTAACGGAAACAAAATCCGAACAGAAAATACCGCCAAACACGACGGTTCTGAAAATTGAGAAAGGCGGAATGTGCCTTACCTTGCGTACAGCAATATCTCGAACAGTCTCGTCGGACAAAAACGGCTCCGCGTCGCCCGAAAATCAACTTTTCCAAAATTCACCTCGACTTTCTCTCTCCTCGGCTGATATTTTCGTTTTATAAAAATTTTTCTCTCTCTTCAAAATGACTGATTTCAGCTTTATAATACACAGATCGGCCCGGCCGATCGCCTGATCGGCCCGGCCGATCAGACCAAATTGGATCGTCCTGGACGGTTCCCAGAACTATTTTCCGGCCGATATTTTGAACAGTGCCAATCGGCCTGGCCGATGCCTAAATCGGTCTAGACGATGCTTACAGAAAAACACCTGGAGCAAATCTGGGCAAATTCTGGAGCAATTTAACTACTGATCGTCCCAGGACGATCCCAGATCGTCCTGGACGATCCTGGAGCAGATTTTGATATTACAGTCGGGCAGAACTCCGACGGTGGTCGAGGAGTTATTCCCTCCTATCCTTCTCTTCTCTTCTTCTTCTCTTCTGTTCTCTTCTTCTTGCTTGGCTCCTCCTCTTATGAGAAATGAGAGGTCTATTTATAGATATTTTGGAGTGGAATGGCTTGTAAATAGGCGAGAGATCAGGGGTAAATAGGGAGTGATTGGATGGGCTGCCGATATTGAATCCTTTTATCATGGACTGTTCATCAGGCATTTGAAGGTCTTAATGATGTCAGAATTCGGCGATCTTGGGCTTGTTGGATTCGTCTCATTGAGCTGCTCGATTCGACTATAAGCACGTCATGCTTGGAAACCGTTTGGTAACTCAAATTGTTGTTTGTACTTTCCAACAACACATCGGGTTTTTGATTTGGACTCATTTGGGCTCGGATTGAGTCGAATTTGGTGTCGTTGGGTTCGTATTTCCGAGATGCTCAGTTTGTCTATAAGTTTGTTGAAATCGGAGTTCACGTGATTCCGGATTTAACTTTTGAAGTTTCAAGATTGATTTTGCCTCGAGATTCATGCCGGATCAAGATGATTTTTTGAGGATATATCAATTTTCAATCTCAAAGTGGTTAAATAATTTATGAACATTTAGGCATACCCGATTCTTTAGAGGCGAACGAGTAAGAAGATATACCTTCTTTTCATTTCTAGATACTGTTATGACCCTTGTTGGAGGAAGAAGCTCTTCTTGAGCTTTCATGCAAGAGAGGAGAGGGGGGGAGGAGAGGCATAGAGGGATAACATGAATGATAAAATTCCTTTACTAATTGAGCTTACAAGGGGCGTACCTTTACATCAACCTACACATCCTATTTATAGATTTACATTGATAAGATGTCAATGTGAATCAACCTAATCTAAAACGGACCAATTTACAACAAATACCAATAAAAGAGATACTTCATTTTCAACCCACCTCAGGCTTCTTGGTCTTAATTCAAGAAGTTCAGAATAAAGCAAGGATTTTTTTTTTCCTTGTTCCTTTTTTTTTGGGCTTACATAAATAACACTAGCCTTATTCAATCACTAAATGGTCTTACTATAGTCTTATTTATTCATAGCTCTATTTAAAACTGGATGGATTTTATATATTCAAACTCCTGAAAAAAGCATTCTATAACCAGGAGAGTCGTCCAACTTCTGCTGGTCTTTTTGTAAGCTTCTAATTTCTTTGAAAAGAAATTTTTTGAAAATCAGTCATGGTATTATGTAGTATCATGGCCAATAATATTATCTGTTTATGTTGTACATATTATGTACCTCTTCTAATATTTGAGAATTATGTTGCCTTCAAATAAATTTTTATGTTTTTTATCAACTATTTCTTTCCCCTTGTAATGTTAAACTAAAATAACATATTAAAGCAGATAAAGCTGTCAGCTCTCAGTTGGATTGGCAAAAACGATTTGTTATAATTCTTGGAATAGCACGAGGACTTCTCTATCTTCATCAAGATTCCAGATTAAAAATTATTCACAGAGATCTCAAGGTTAGCAATATTCTTCTCGACAAGGAGTTGAATCCCAAAATTTCAGATTTTGGCTTGGCAAGGATTGTTGGAGGAGACCAAATGCAAGAAAGCACACAAAAAGTGGTCGGCACATTGTAAGTTATCTATCACTCTCTATTTCACTAGCTATGGTATGAACCTTCTGCATATCTTATAACTCACATATATTTATATGACAGTGGATACATGTCGCCTGAGTATGCAATGCATGGTATATTTTCAGTAAAATCTGATGTCTATAGCTTTGGAGTTATTGTACTTGAAATCCTTACTGGTAAGAAGAATAGTGTATTTGATCCAAATGAAAGCCGTGTAAGCCTAATAGGACATGTAAGTATTATTAGAGAAGAGAAATCAATTTACATGTTGGCTTTTATTTTAAACCAGTTAAAATTTAAGAATGCTTGTGCAGGCCTGGACGTTATGGTCAGAAAATAAATCCCTTGAGTTGGTCGATGATGCGCTGAATTATGGCTATCATGAGCAAGAAGTTCTGCGATGTATGCAGGTCGGTCTCCTTTGTGTGCAAGAAGGGAGTGAAGATAGGCCTACAATGGCTTCAGTGGTTTTGATGTTGAGCAGTGAAACCATGACATTGCCTCAACCTAAGAGGCCTGGTTTCTATCTCAAAGATGATTATGAAGTACCAGATTTCTCAACGTCTGATCCTATCGATTGTACCATAAATGATATCACTCTTACAATGATCTATGGTAGATAGAGAAGCAAAACCAAAATCTATTAATAGCCGGGGTGGTATAAATGATAGTGATAATGTGGCTGGCTCCCAACTAATTAATCAAGATGTTGCCGATGTATGGACTATTTTTTCCATAGCCGTTGTATATTTCAAGATTATGGTAGGCAGGAAGTTGTGGCTACTTCTCAAAAGTGATTTTCTTCGGCTTGATGTGTTTGTTATTTGTTCTGCTTTTATGACTTATAGGCAACGTAAGTGCTACAGTTGCTTTATATTGCTCTTTGGTTTATGATTTGTTTAGGTATTTCAATAAAGTTGAGCTTGATTTGGCTTGCAGTTAACTCCCTATTGTAAATCGAAAAATATTTCTCATGCAGATTGAAAAATACTTTTCTTGTTGTTTAGTTTGGTTTGGTTTTGGCTTGCAGTCGACTCCCCATTGTATATCAAATGTTGCAGCCAATAAATTTCTAATGAAGTTGATGGTTTGAGATATATTGATAGTTTGATAGCCCGAAAGTCAATCAATAGCTTGCCTTGAGAATCAGCCCTTGAATAGTCGTCAAGATCGACTCCATAAATAGGAGTGGCTAGGGCCAAGCATTAGGTTTTACTCGCCTATCAAGATGAGTTTTTTTATCATAGTCGTTTTGCTGTGGAAGCAATAGAACAGGGAAAACGCAGAAGACAATGCAAAGGAATTCTCAATAAAACAGTAACATTACTGTGGATAATCAAAGGTATCAAAAGACTGCCTAGCTCAAGCTCATCTCCCGGTATAAGAGAAGCTTCAGCATACTACAAAAAGTGCAGCAACTATGAAAAAGGAAAAAGTACTACAGTCCTTTAGTTAGTTATAAAAGTAGTAGGGAATTATGCTAAATAACAGAAAAAGCAGTCTAAGGGTATAGTGGTTGTGCGGCACACTATAAGCAAGGCATGTAATGAGATAGGTAGAGAAGTTCCACATCAATCTCCTCCACTTCGGAAGAATTCGTGTCTGACGATTTGACCTCGATGGCGGCGGTGTCGGCCGGATAATAAGGGCTGAGATCAGCCACATTGAACGTGGCAGAAGTGAGGATATCCGGTGGTAGGTCCAGCACATAGGCATTGTCGCTGATCTTGTGCTTGATAGCGAATGGTCCAAGCTTTCTGGGATTAAGCTTGGAGTAAGTTCCCGTGGGCCAACGCTCTTTCCTGAACAGTGCCATCACCAATTCTCCTGTTTGAAAGACTTTGGTGCGGCGGTGTGCATCCGCTGTCTGTTTGTAGGCGTCGTTCGAAGCTTGGAGTGTGCTGCGGACGTTGTCTAGCATGGCTTTGAAGTCCCCCGTAAGCTTGGCAGCCGCCGAGTTGTGACATTTTGGGATGACAGCAATGTCTACAACATGGTTAGGTGGCTTAGTGTATACAATATTAAAAGGACACATACCCGTAGATTGATTTGTAATGGAATTATAAGCAAACTCGGCTTGGCTGAGAATGTCGTCCCACTTTTTCGGATGATCCTGCACCAAACATCGGAGCATGTTGCCAAGAGTGCGATTTACTACCTCCGTCTGTCCATCAGTCTGTGGATGGTATGCGGAGCTCAGCTTGATCTCAGTTTGTATTTGTTTCCATAACTCCCTCCAGAAGTGGCTAACGAACTTCACATCCCGGTCGGAGGTAATGCTTCGGGGAAGCCCGTGTAGTCGTATGATCTCCCTAAAAAAGAGACGAGCAATGCCGAGGGCATCTGATGTCTTTTTACAGGCTATGAAGTGAGCCATCTTCGAAAACCTATCCACCACCACCATGATGGAATCAACCCCCCTCTTCGTCCGCGGCAAGCCCAGTATGAAATCCATGCTGAGATCCTCCCAAATAGACACCGGTACAGGTAACGGACAATAGAGTCCGGTGTTTTGACTACTTCCCTTGTACAACTGACAGACTGGGTATCGCTGCACATATATGGTAAAATCTTTGCGTAAATGGGACCAAAAAAACCATGTTTTCATTTGCTCAATAATTTTTTCTCTGCCCAAGTGAGCTGCCAATCCACCCGCATGCATTTCGGTGATCAACTGAAGCCGAACAGAGGAATCTGGGATGCACAGGGAATTGCCTTTAAATAAGTAGCCGTGCCTCAAGGTGTAATCACCTGTTTGTTGCCCAGCCGAGCAACTTTGCCAAGGAATAGCAAAGTCTTTATCTGTACAATAAATCTCTTTCTAGCTCTCCATGCCCGTGATTTCCGTTTGCAACTTGGTTAATAATGCTGACCGTCGGCTCAAAGCGTCAGCGACACGGTTTTGTTGACCGGACTTGTGTTTAAGTATGAAACTGAATTTTTGTAGAAAAATAACCCATCTTGCGTGCATCCGGTTGATACTCTTCTGTGTGCTTAAAAACTGTAATGCTTGGTGGTCGCTGCACAAGACGAAATCATGGTGTAATAGGTAATGCTCCCACTGCTTCAAGGCCCGGACGACCGCGTATAACTCCTGCTCATAGACAGACCATTTCTGTCTAGTTGGGCTCAATTTTTCACTAAAGAACTCGACGGGCTTGCCGTCTTGGGACAGTACAGCTCCAATCCCCACGGCCGAGGCATCGGTGTCTACGTGGAATGCTTTGTTGAAGTCCGGTGCTGTAAGAACAGGGGCGGAGCTAAGGGCCGTCTTGATGGTGTCGAAGCTTCGCTGCTGATCATCCCCCCAACGGAAATGGCTTGACCGCAAACAATCAGTTATAGAGGCCATGATTACGCTAAATCCGCGAATAAATCTCCTATAGAAATTAGCTAAACCATGGAAGCTTCTGATTTCAGTTATTGTCCGGGGTTGTGGCCACTGTTGAATTGCTGAAACTTTATTTGGATCCATGCTGATGCCGTTTGCAGAAACAATGAACCCAAGGAAGTGCACGGCTGATGTAGCGAATTCACACTTGGACTTATTTAAGTATAATTTATGACTTTGAAGCAGCTCAAAAACACTTCTCAAGTGTTCCCAATGATCTTCCGGTGACGCACTGAACACCAAAATGTCGTCGAAGTAAACGACGCAACACTTGCCCAACAACGGTTTTAGAATTTCAGACATTAGTCGCAGTAAAGTAGCCGGCGCATTACACAAGCCAAAAGGCATCACCCTCCATTTGAACAACCCTTGGCGTGTTTTAAATGTCGTTTTCCACTCATCGCCGGGACGGATCCTTATTTGATGATAGCCGCTGCACAAATCGAACTTAGAGAAAATCTGTGCTCCCGCTAGATAATCCAACATATCTTCGAAACTGGGCACGGGGAAGTGATATTTAACTGTGATTTTATTGATAGCTCGGCTATCAATACACATGCGCCACGATCCGTCTTTCTTCGGAATTAATAATGTCGGTACCGCACACGGGCTGAGGCTGGGTTGAATAAGCTGCTTCTCCAACAATTCGTCTATAATTTCCTGTAGTTGCTGATGTTCCATGGGGCTCATTTTGTAATGCGGTAGATTAGGCAATGATGCACCGGGTGTAAAATCAATTTGATGCTGTATAGAACGTACAGGAGGAAGTTCGTTAGGAAGTTCAGCCGGGATAACGTCTGCGAATTGCTCCAGCAATGCAGTCAGGCCACCAGGAATTTGCTTCAACTCAGTGTCTTGGTTGCCCTCCGTCACTATTAAGGCAAGGAATGCCTTTGCTTCATGTCCAGCTTGTAATAATGAATTTCCCGAGACTATACAGAGAGCATTCCTCTCTTCTCCACTGATAACTGGCTGGCGTTGAGGTGTAGGTAGTAAGCGTAGTTTGCGGCCCTTCCATTCAAATGAATATGAATTAGCTGGACCATCATAAACAGCTCCGTGGTCTAATTGCCAAGGTCGGCCCAGTATCAAATGGCAAACGTCCATATCGAGGACGTCACAAAGTATCTCCCTAGCATAATGCCGTCCGATGGAAAAATTCACCTGGCACATTTCAGACATTGGAATATCTAATCCCTTCTTAACCCAGCTGATTCTGTAAGGGTTAGGATTTTTGGTCGTTTTAAGTTGTAGAGCCTGAACGACACCTCTAAATATGATGTTTTATGTACAGTACCTGTTATCAATCAAAAGATCGCAAATCTTCCCCCTTAATAGTGCACTTGGATTTAAAGATTGCATTTCGCTGGGAATTGGATTGCTGACTTGGCACGAGCAGCAGTTTCTGCAGGACGCAAATTACGGGCTCCCCTTCATCACCTAGGACTTCTTCGTACTCATCCTCCTCAGCTTCGGCTTCGGCTGCAGTGTTGAACGGCTCCACCTCCCCTTCCATGAGTTGCAATTGTTGTCGATTCGGACACTCGTTGGACTTGTGTCCCGGCTGAAAGCATCGGAAACACTTTAAGGTTGACGGTCGCCCATAAGGATTTTCCTTTATTGCTGCTTTCATTTTATTTGAGCCCTGTTTTTCTGCTGTCATTGGAGGTGAAGCTGCAGCGGTCTGCGGCTTCGCAGTGAACTTCTAAGCATTAGTTGTGTTCGAGCCTTGACCCTTATTCTCTGGAGCTGTAGCTTCTGTGAACTGACGGCGTTGATTGAAGGGTCTATAAGGTCGAGATAACTGCATTTCTGCCTTTAAGGCGAAATTAACGGCTTGCGACATCGACCAAACCGAATTTAGCTCAAGCTTATCCAGGATCGTATCCTTCAAGCCGCCAATGTAACGGGCTACTATCTGATTTGCAGTCTCGTTCAGATTGTTGCGAGCGCTAAGGCGGTAGAATTCTTCTGTATAATTGCTCACACTCCGCGGTCCTTGTTGGCAATGCTGAAATTTCATGTACAGGATTTGTTCAAAATCCGTAGGCAGGTAATGGCTTCTCAAAAGCTGCTTCATCCGCTCCCAACTCCGGACGTTACCCCTACGTTCTCTCTGCTTAGCCTGCAGTAATTGCTGCCACCAAGCGCTGGCGCCGCCCCGTAACCGGCACGCCACGTACTTCACTTGCTTCTCCGGTGGAATTTTCATATACTCAAAGAACGTCTCAACGGATCGTTCCCAATCGAGAAAATCTTCGATATGTAATTTACCATCAAAAAAAGGGATATCCATTTTAACTTTAAACTCACCTAAGCCCCGCAGGACAAAATCCGGTCGTCGTCGATGTAGCGGGGCAAACTGTGGATTCTCCTCCTCTGTTGAATCCGATGCATCCCCGTGCAGATTGATTTCCGCTTCAACGTCTGAGTCCGACGGCGCGGCCATATCGACGGGATACCGTCGTCCTCCTCAACCACGTTGTCTCAGTAGGCGTCGAGTTGGGGAAGTTGCTGGTGCCGGTAGTTGGGCATTACCGCCACCCGTTTTGATGTTTTGAAACTCCAAACGTACCTCTGTAGAGAATCGACGAAACACAGTCTTGAGCTCCTCCAGTT